ATTTAAGGAACTTATTCTTTATCCTAAACATGATACTAGGAAGCAATAAAACATCCTAACATGATACTAGGAATCAAAATAATAATCTAAGCATGATTTCTATATCATAATATAAATTAAACCATTAAAGTACTTACTTGGACGCCTCGTACCTCTTTCTAATAACAAAATACACACGTTAGTAACTTCAAGGAAAATAATAACAAACAAACAATTAAATTAAATAATTGAAATAAAGTTAAGAAATTTTAGACTAGATTTGGGACTAAACCCTCAGAAATATCAAACCTTTCACGTCTAGGGCGAAGGCAACTTCGAACTTGGCTAGGTGTGTCTAGTGCTAATGTATGAGGAATTTTGTTTGTAAAAGGGTTGGCTTAGAAAGAGGGAGAGAGAATCAATAAATTCTTGATGAGAGTTGGTGATTTCAAAAAGGGGAGATATGACCCCTATTTATAGAGAAAAAGAGGATCGAAGAATAGGAAAAGAATTCGAATTCGAATCTAAATAAAACTCGATGGTCAGCAGTTTTTGCGGATTTTGTATTTATCATATTTTTTGTTCCAGAAGTCCAAATAAGTTATATAATATGTCGTTGGAAAGCTATTGAAGTATTCTTTTCAATACAATTAGAATCAGATTAAAATATTTTGTAGATAAAAAGATATGAATGAAATAGTAGGACAGTGTCAGTTTTGGATAGAGTTTTGTATTCCATTCATATCTTTTTCGTTATAGCTCGGATTTAATATTATAATATATGATTGGAAAGATAATTTCAAGATCTATCCGACCATATAAGATTTGGATAAAGATTATGAGGAAAAAAAATTATACTTGATTGTCTTTGAACATCTTTAAATTCCAATAGAATTAGGATTAAAAAAAAGGAAAGTTTTTATAAAAGGAAAGTTTTTGTTTAACTCAAATTCTTTTATCTTATTTTTTCAAAAAGGATAATTAATAACTTTTAGAAACTTATAGAAGCTTCTATTTAATCCTAATTATTTTAGGAATTGGATTCGACCTTTGGACCCGCCACATGATCATTGGACCGTAGGTAAAACCGGGTTGGGCTTAGTTTAGTATTTTGGCCATAACTTCCTCATTATTCATCGGAATTGGGCTTATAATATATTGTTGGAAATCTCTTTTCAAACTCTTTTCAAAAATGAAATGCACGTTTTTCATAAATAGGGTAAGAAAAGAAATATTTTTAAAAACAAAAAGAAGAGATACTTTAATAAAACATCCTCATCACTACACTTTTCACACTTTCGCTTTGTTCGATAATCAAATGACATGAAAGGTATTCATCACTGGGTTTGGTTTTGGGGAGACACATTTGGGTGTCTACAATAACAAATAAACACGAAGGGTGAAAGAGGAAATATACCTTTGGAGCGTGCTTCGCCCGACCGAATGGGCTCTTACTTGAAAGCTTAGCCCTGAAAACACGAGAGCCTCCGACAGAAATCCACCCGCAAAAATGACTTCCGACTTTTAGGTCCGTTGCCTCGAGGTTGGCGAGGCCCGACCAAAACCCGAGTATTATATGATTTTAAGGGTTTTTGCAAATGCAACACCCTATTGAACTCCTACTCAAGCCAAGAATTCTCAAGCCATGCTTTGGCTATTTATAAGGAAGGGTAGCTTGTGAATTCCACTCATCTTTCAATGTGGGACTTTTTCACAAAAAGATCCCACATGGAAAGATTGATGAATTCAACCCTTAGTTAAATAAACTAAGGAACAAGTAACAAGTGTCATATGGTTAGGTAAGGACCACTTTCTCACTTGGTCCCCAAGGCATTTCACATGCATTGTGAACTAACCATGTGTCACCCAACCTTGAGCCCCAAGTTGGGTCCGGTTAGGCCACTTTCTTTTGGCCCGTGTCCATGACCCATCACCCGGGTCCACGACCCTTCCCACATGCGTTGCCACCGTGGCGCGCTGCCAACGTGGCGCGATGCCACGTGGCACGCTGCCACTTGGTGGGTGCCACTAGGTGGCTGCCAACGTGGCGGTTGCCACTTGGCGGTTGCCAACGTGGTTGCCATGTGCGCTGCCACGCGTGCTGCCACATGATGTTTTGCCATGTGTGCTGCCATGTGGCACACTCCTATTTGGCGCGCTTTCCTAGCCTTTCGCGTGGCTAGGAATTTACTTGTTACTTGAAGCATTTTCCCGTCTCGCCAAATCCTAAATTTTGGCTCAACATTTGAGATTCTCCGACGCTCGGTTTCGACGCTCCAAGCTCGAATTTCTGACGTCTAAATATTTATTACTCGGGAGACTCATTAATTCTTCCGAATTAATTTGTTGTGTCGGTTCCTTCATTGCTTGGGTGTGACCCGAAGGGTTCAGTAAAAATTAAGCTTTAATATTAATTATTCATTAATATTACTGATTGGAAGCGGCCTCCACCTAGGCATTCCGATCACTTGACCTTACTGAATATATTAGCTTTCGAATAATTCTGAACCCACTATCAGAATAATACACTTGTTCGAAGTACACCATTCCTTTCATGTCTCATATTATATTAACATTCATTGCATTGTAGGTGGTACAAGTACATAAATTGTTTTAAAAAAGAAAGCATCCACAAGCAAGTGATATGTTGTCCTACAAGCTGAGAATAATTTAACTTCCATTCCAAAAAGAAAAATAGATAATTTCTCAGCAAGCTATCTACTGCTGCATATGAAGGTTTATGATGGTGCAAATGGGATAGGATCAGGAACAATAAAAGAGGTAAGTTAGCATACTTAATTTTGAAGTCCTTAAACTCTATACTTATCTGGTAATTTATATAAACTAAAGTTAATCTTTTATTTTTTTTACAGGAATTTCCAAGACTGAATCACCATCACATAAGAACAGTGCTTGACCTACTTGTCAATGATAAGAAACAAATGAAACAAACATTGCTTACAAATGCTGAGAATTGGGAAGAGAAGAAAGCATCCAAACAATTGTAAATGATATCAGTAGATTTGAATATATCATAGATATTAGAATATATCAGTATTTTTAAGTAGTTTGTTTGTATGAAGAATACATATTATATCCATAAGTTGAATTTCTAGTATTGTTCTGTGTCAAAAATGGTGGTAGATGTAAAAGTAGAAGAAATCAATCAAAAAGTAAATGAAAATAGTGTTAAAGTAAATAACACTATGTTTAAAGTAAAAGAAAAAAGTTTTTAAAAAAAACCTTTCTGAAATATGGTGTTCGATTTTAAAGTAAACAAAAATATTGTTCAACTAATAAAAATTGGATCTAAAGTAGAGGTGGAGATAGGAAAAAGTATTAAATTCAAAACAAGAAAAAAAATTCAAGTCAAAAACATGTTATTCGATTATAAGTGAATGAAAATAGTATTAAAGTAAATAAAACTATATTTAAAGTAAAAGAAAAAAAGTTTTAAAAATAAACTTTCTAAAATATGGTTTTCAATTTTAAAGGAAAGAAAAATACTGTTAAAGTAATAGAAAATGGATCTAAAGTAGCGGTGGAAATGGGAAAAAGTATTCAAGTCAAAAAAAAAACAACTTAAAAACATGTTATTCGATTATAAGTAAAGGGAATTAATTCGATTATAAGGGCGGAGCGAAGCGGATGTTGGCCTTTTAATCCCCATCCCCTTCCCCACAACGCCACAACGGGTACAATATTTTAATTCACATAATTCTTTTATTAAATAGTATAAAATCTTTTAAAGATATATATGCGAGTATGAGTTGGGGATAGGGCGAGTACAAAGTGGAACGGGTAGGGTAAGGCAGGGATGGGGCGGGTACAACTTAAAATACATCAATCCTCGCCCCACCACTCGCCAAACCGAGACCCATCCCCACCAAAATAAGAATCGATCAAGTCTCCTAATTGACATGCACCACATCCATGGGTGGAGGTAATTGTGAAAGTGGTAGTTAAATGCTTTGTCACACTAAAGAAAATACAAAATTTTAAAATATTGTTGTTTGGAAGGTCATGCACCACATTATTTCAGCAAGAACGAGTTTGGTTTGGGTTAAGTAAGACTGGGTCATATCTATCCAAGTTAGGTGAACAGGAATTAATACTGTAACCTATGTTGATCAAACACAGATTGGGTCATGCTTGAGTTGAATTACAACCAGCCTTACATATTATTAGGTTTGGTACAGGTTTAGGTGACTTTAATAACAGGTCAAGTTACATTCAAGTCAAGTAAATAATTAGCGAGTTAAAGAATTAAGTCAATCTAGAATTTAGACGAATTTGGTTCAAGTCAATAATTTTACGACTTATAATCAAGTTGAAGTCACCAAGTCAATAATCTATGGTTTACATTTAGGTCAGGTCATCTACACTTCAATTCATGTTCAAGATCAGGTCTCAAATACTCTTGTAAATTCGGGTTCCATGAAAAATGTGACAAGTATTTTAGAACAAAAAATGGAAATGGTACAAACTATTCTAGGACAAAAGGAGTAATACAAGATATTATCTTTAATTTTGTAAATAAATACATTATATATATCAAACGATTCATATGATATAAAAGTAAACAGAAACTGTCATAAAGTTAATGTATAATAGCTAAAAGTAAATAAACAGAACTTAATTTCTGTAGTACAATTATTTTTAATCAAAATGTAAAAATATTACAATAATAAAAATAATAAAAAAAATTTGTTCATTAAATCTTGATCTTGATCTTCCAAAACATCTTCTAATTTCTAAGTATTATAATAAATTCACAAAAATAAACATCATTTATTTGTGAGAAATTAAAGTAAATAAATTAGATTGTAAATTAAATAAATTACAACTTATAGTAAATAGGAAAAGTTAAAAATACCAAATAAAATAGTATCAAGTATAATAATACCTGCACAAAATAAAAAGTAAATGAAGATAAGGTTAAAGTAAATAAATAGAAGTTTAAAGTAAATTGAACACATTTAAAAGTAAAATACCTGAAAAGTTACTTGTTTGGCCAATTATCAAGTATAATAATACCTGCACAAAATAAAAAGTAAATGAAGTTAAGGTTAAAGTAAATAAATAGAATTTTAAAGTAAATTAAACACATTTAAAAGTAAAATACCTGAAAAATTACTTGTTTGGATAGTTTCTACTGTCATAGGAAACACCAGATTGCCCACAAGCTCTACAGGTTCTGCCCTTTTTGGATTTTTGTTCAGTAGCTACTTCTTTTACACTCTTCAACCGCTTTGAACTTTTGGCAGAACCTTTGTTAAGACACTGATTTGGAGGCAAGATATTTACATCTACTTCATTTAACCCAACCAAAACCTGAATATCAGCATCTTTCACCTCTTTTGAACTAGGTGCATTTTCAGGATTATTCTTTGATATCATCTGCTCCTCAAATGAAGATAATGTCCTAATAATCCTAGATAAATCATCCTCAGATTGGTCAGTTTAACTCACACAACTGAAAATCTTGGACCATACATCACTAACCAATTGCTTCTTCTTATCATACTTAGAAGCATCATACAGAGCAACATTTGTGACAGAAGCATTCTTCAGAACATCTTTTCTCCAACGATTCAAGATATAAGGATCGAGAATTTCACGTATACACTTGCCTTTCATAACAAACAGAATGTGTCTACATAACACGCCTTGACTCTCAAACATTCTACAAGTACAACTTGACTCATATGTGGCCAAGTCAAAAGTTACATCAAATTTTTTCCTTTTCTCATTATCAACAATAATAGAAAACCCCACACCATCTCCATACAGAGAACTACAACTTTCAACAACACATGAAAAACAGGCTCCCTCACATTCTTCTTGAAAATCATTAAATATGGCACGAGTATAAAAAATAGCAGCGTGCTTTTCCAAGTGTAAGTGAGTAACCAATTGAGGCTCAAGTTTATTAAGCCTGATCAACTCATCATGTTCATGCCTTTGAGCATCAAGAGCAGTTTCATAACGGACAAAGAATTCAACACAAGTTACATGAGGGTTTGTAAAATTACAAAAGAAACTGTTTTCACCTTCAGTGTAGAAGTAGAACGCAGTAAACCACCCATAAATAAGTCCCTAAAATATGCAGGAATCCAAAGATGTTTAATCTTGAACATGTATGCAAACTACTCATGATCGACAAGGTCAAACTCCTCCATTACATTATTCCAATCATCAACAAATACACAAGGATCAATTTCTCTATTCCAAACTACTACACTTAGCTTTATTAGGAAATCAGTTTCATTACAAAAAGAAGTTCCAACTTTTTTAGGTACCTTCCTCATTATGTGCCACATACATAGCCTATGTTTAGTCTTAGTAAAAACCTTTTCTATGGCAATACCCATTGTAGAATCTTGATCAATGATAATACAAGAGGGTTCTCTTCCCATGCACTTCAAAAAAGTTTGAAATAGCCACACAAAAGAATTTATATCTTCTTTAGATAATAGAGCAGCACAGAATGTAACACATCTCTTGTGATTATCAACACCAGTAAAAGGACAGAAAACCAATGAATATTTATTTGTATCATAGGTAGAATGAAAAGATAAAGAGTCCCCAAATAATTGATAATCTCTTCTACCAATAGCATTAACCCAAAAGACATGGGTCAAATGCCTAATTTCATCAACACAATATCAAAATAATAACCCCCTTTACTGGTTTTCACTTTTTGTTCAAGGTTCTGAACAAACATCATACCATCAGCATTAGAGATATAAACTTTTAAGTCCCTAGAAAAATTTTTGAAATCATTTTTACTGCCCTTGACATTTTCAAACCCACCACAAAGTTCTTTCATGATCCTATAAGACATAACAACCCCTATATTTAACTTTCAGTTGTCAAAAATAAACTTCTTATGAGCAAAATTTAAACCAACTTCATGTTTAGTAACCTGCCTAGTAATAGGTGTAGAAAAAGGATGAGAATGATATTCATAAAAATAATAAACCATATACTTCCCACCAGTACAAAACCTAAATTTTATCATAGTAGGACAACCAACTCTCTTCACATTCTTTCTCTTTAAACAAGAACCTTCAACTTGTTTACCAAATTTCTTGTTATTTGTCACATACCCTTCTTTGCTACAATATAAATATTTAATTACAGTAACTCCTTTACCAATAGGATCATCCTTATTCTTTTGTGATTTAGTAGTACTAGAATAGACTTTAAATCCACACTCATTAGCATATTTTTAATAAAAGGCAATACTATCTTAAAGAGTATCAAATATCATTCCAACAAAAGGTTTGTTTTCCAAAGAACAACTTGGCATATACTCTTTATCACCTCCTAAATTATAATATATTTTAGGAAGCAAAGGCTGAGTGGGTGTTTTGAAAATTCTTACATTGTTATCTTCAGTAGTGACAGAAGAAAAACAATGCTCTACACTTTCAGACATGTTCCTGAAAAGTAAATGAATCGAAGGAAAAAGTAAACAAACAATAAATAAAAGTAAATAAACTATAACTAAAAGTAAACAAATTTTTTTAAAAAATAAGCTAATAAAAACTATTAGAGATATACTAAAAAGTAAATGACTTAGAGCATAAAGTAAAAAAAAAAAATTTAAAAACTTGAAGAAACTAAAAAACATGAAGTTATAAGAATATGATGAAAAACATCTACAATGAATTTCGTAAGTGTAAAACAACAACAAATTATACAACTTCTTCAATAACACCAAGAAATGTAGCAACTATATGCACAAAACATCTACAATGAATTTCGTAAGTGTAAAACCATAAAATAGAAATTAACAACCAAAATCGTAAAAATAAAACACTAAATTGTATAGAATAATTCAGAGAACAATTAATAAGTAAAAATTGATAAAAATTAAGATAAAAAACACTAAATAGAAAAACACATAATAAGAAAATTACCTCAATTACCAAAATTGATAAAAATTAAGATAAAAAAACACAAAATAGGAAAACACGTAATAATCAGCCGTGATATGAAATCAAAATAAACAACGAAAATAAAAATATAATTAAAAAATTACCTCAATGAATGATAAAATCAAAGAATGCGATGTAATTGAAGCTGAAAATCGAAAAATTTGGGCAAATAGTTTGCTAAATCGAAGAGCTCAGATCGCGGGTGGAGAACTTAAGCTTAGAGAGAGAAAATGAGGACGCGAAGATAGATAAAATAAAAGGAAGAGAAAGAGAAAGAAAGGAGGTCATTCAAAGTGGCAAAATTACCAAAATGCCATTATTGACATGAAAAAGGCGGGTAGGATGTCAGTCGTTGGATTAAGGAAGAACAACGCACCATATTAGTTCCTAGTTCCTATTCTATGCTTAGGTTCTCACATGATCCCATATATATATATATGTGTGTGTATTTATATATATATATATATATATATATACATATATATACATATATAAATACATATATATATATATATGTAAATACATATATATATATATATAAATACATATATATATATGTAAATACATATATATATATATATATATAAATACATATATATATATAAATATATATATATATATGTATATATATATATATGTATATATATATATATGTATATATGTATATATATATATATATATATATATATATATATATAAATACATATATATATATATATATAAATACATATATATATATATATAAATACATATATATATATAAATACATATATATATATATATATATATATAAATACATACATATATATATATATATATATATATATATATATATATATATAATATACATATCAGCCAACAAAAGGAATATATTAGCCAACCCAAAAACCATATCAGCAAATAAATGAAACATATCAGCCAACACATTAAACATATAAGCCAACAAGTTAAATATATCAACCAAGCCTCCCGCACCAAATAGTTCGTGTGTCCGTACGCACGCAAAGGAAAAAGAAGATTTTTGCCCGACCAGGTGCGAATATCCTGCTGAAGATGTTAACGTTTGAACCTGCTTCAGCAACATAATAGCATCCTTCTCCACCACCACCACCACCCCCTCTATACTCCCCTAATTGAGGATTCCACTTCAATGATTGGGTCGCCGGTGGTATTGGGGTAAGCTGGGTCGCCAACGGTATTAAGGTAAGTGGAAAGTCCATGTTATGCCGACGGTGGGAGAGGGTAGGGCAGGTTTTGCTTTTAGAGAAGGTTGGGGATTGCCGTAGATAGCGGAAAGCAGGGGATGAGAGGGGAGGGGGGTGGGTCGACGTTGGAAGGGGAGGGAGGTGGGTCGGCTTGGGAAGAGAATCGGTCGCTGGCGGTATCAGGGTATGGGGAAATCCGATCTGGATGCTTACCATGCCGACGGTGTTGGGGCAAGGTGGGGTGGGTTTTTCTTTTAGAGATGCTTTAGGGAATCGCCGGAGATGGCGAAAAGCAGGGAAGCAAGGGGAGTACTGGAGTTAGTCGACGTCAGAAGGAGAAGGAGGTGGGTCGATTGGGGAAGAGAATCGACCGCCGACGGTGGATGGATAAGGCTGGTTGGTGGATGCCGGAGTACGTGGTGAGGTTTCGATTTTTTTTTTTCAGCAAATTTTTTCTATATTTTTATTTTCTGATTTTCAAAAATAATTAATTTCTATTTTTCATAAGATTAAAGTTTTTTTTCTAAAATCATCTAAATTATTTTTGGCAAAAAAATAGGACCATTTATTAGTACTGTTCATGAAGGTGCCAGTTTTCACAAAATCTTATATGTGGCTAGTCACACGATGTGACATGTGACCACTCCACAATAAAGCAATTAATTAAGTAATAGGGGGTTACGGTGATGAGAAAATGGGGTTACCTTGACATATATGGGTTACTTAAAGGTAGAAAAGGGTTACTATTTTATATAAGTGGAATTATTCTTTCAATTTTTAAAACAAAAAATAGGGGTTACTCAAATTAACAAATGAGGTTACTTATTTCTTTTTTTATTTTTCTTTTTTTTTGACGGGAAATGCTCGAATATTATTAATCAACAACTAGATCAAAAGAAATTCAAGAGTTTACTTCAGTGGGTGCTTCTACAATCCACACACGCATTTCTACACAGTTCTTACTAACTTGAGCTAAAGTACGAGCAACTGAGTTTCCCTTTCTACAAATACGCGAATAAGCAATGAACTGAAAATCCCCAGCAAGATGCGGGTGTCATTTACTATAAGACCAAAGTAGGAATTGTCACTCTTCCGGTTGTTAAGGTCATGTATCAGCTTCAAATTATCATACTCAAGGGTGAGTTTATTAAGACCAGCTTCAATAGTGTAGGGAATATTTCAAGTATCCCAAACTTGAACCCCACTGTGATCATACACTTAAGCATGGTGGCGTCCAAAGGGAAAGAAGCTAGAGCAAAAGAGTCGTCAAAAAGTTTTAGGAACTTGTAAACCGTTCACAGGATGAAGGTTACACCCCTTCACGATCCTAGAGATCGCTAACTTCATAGTGGTATGAACCATGACTGGATATTTGGGGATGAAGGTACGAATCCAACCTAAAAGAGATTGAACCCACCCTAAAAATAGGCCACTATGCATTAAGGAAGGGGCTATACTGCCGAGCAATGTTGGAATTTGAAAGACGTCATTCAAGACTTGGTGGATGCAAACAAACTTCCTGTCCCTCCAGGCGGCAAGAAGTAATGAACACAAGGCGCATAGAAGATCCTTCGTGCAAGATTCCATGATATTTTTTTTAATCATTCATCTCCATTCCCCTATTCATGTCTAGCATAGGTTTTTCACCTTTTCCATTAATAAAATGAGCATATTTCCTTTAAATCTCGATCATAGCATTTTTCATTCACTGATTCAAAAAAAAAAAAAAAAAAATCAATTACCGAACTAAACACAAGGTACACCAATGGCTTGAGGCACCTTTACAACCCTGTCATTCCCTATTAACCATTCAATCACATATCCATTTCTTCGTCAACCACTTTGAGCCTTGTCTGACGATTGACCTCATTTATTCAACCCACATTCACTTAACCCTGGGATGGGTAGGCGTGCAATTTGTGTAATAGTCAGAAATAAAGTTCAAATAAAAGAAAATAATAATAACAAAGAAGAATAAGTAAATAAAAAAAACAATGTCTAAAGGAAAGTGTTCCAATGTCTTTGATATGAACTCGTCTCAAATTACGTTCTCATCGAAAGCTTGGTACCGTGCCCGAGAAACATGAATGCTAAGTGAGTGATGGACCGCTGATCTGAGATTGCCTACATTGATTCAAAAGAATTAAAAAAAAAAGAAATTCAAAACAAAAAAAATAAGCTAACACTACTACAAAAAGAGCATTTTCTCGACGCTATGGCTTCGACACTGAGGCAAGAGGGTCAACTGTAAATAATACGACCACATTCATATGCATGATCGAGTTGAAGAATATCCAATGCTTATCCCTATGACCCTATCCATCTAAAGCTAGACTTGGGAGCTTGAACCCACATCACTTAGCCTACCTAGCCTAAAGAGTCACCATTTTGAATTTTCTCACATCTTTTTCCATCACCATAACCATTTCAGCCTCACCTTAGTATCACTTTCACAAATTTCTTTCATACATATATACATAGCCATATCATCTTTCCCTTAGGAAACCTTTATCATGAAATCTTGTTTCCCTACTGCGCATGCTTCATCATCTTTCAAGATAACATTAATTAGAAGAAACATTATATACTTGCTTAGCTTCTTGACCTGAGCAATATTCATTGTTTCACGCATTGCATAATGTGCAGAACAACATTTATATATCTTTTAATGCCAAAAATCGGCAGGGAACGACGTTAGGCTGGGACGTCGACCGCTAAACAAACTATGCTTTATATAAACAAAATACGGAATAATAAGGATGAACAAACGATGTTTTGATGATGCAGAAAACCCAATGAAGTGGGAAAAACTGCGGGTGGGAGAAATCCACCGATTGCACTATGAATAATCAATTGTTACAATGAGAGTTTAGAGAATACTTGATAGAGTACTTGTGTGTTATACATCTAAAATATAGATCTATTTATAAAGGAGGAAACGACAGTCTAGGTCTTCAAAGTAGCCGTTGGGAGAAGATAATTATCTTTCCATGAATTCAGGAAGTTAGTTGATTGACCCATTCTTCTGGTCCATTGAGCACAAGCAAGGGCCTTATATTACCTAAAATACCTGAATATTTGAACTACGGAATTAGTCAATTAAATTCCTGGAATAAAGGGACTTCAATTACGAACTTGGAATGACGCTTCTACATGATGCTTGAGTCTAAGACGCGTCATGAAAATTCTGCACTAACAATTTGCCCCTAATTGTTGCTTTGGATTCCTTGATATTCGAAGTAACAATCTTACTCTGCCAACTCATCGCATTATCCTGAATTTTCTGACCGTTACTTTAGCTTGTCCGATTTTTTCAACTTCCACGATGCATCACAATTCCCCATTTTCTTTTGGTGAAATAACTTCCAACTGTCCCTTATAAATGCTGAGTAGTTACATTCCCCAATTCACTTTAAGCTTTCAAAAAATTTCAAAATTTTCGAGCTCTTTCAAGTCGAATAATTTCGGTGCTCTTGAAGCTTTTCTGGTGCGATCTTCTTACTTTTACCCAGGTAATTTCTTCGACTTTGACTTTCAATTTCTTTATTTTCTTGTTTTGAGATGAAAGGGGGCAATTCTAGATCTATGTATTCACTTAGAATTTTCGAGAAATCTAGGGATTTACCTGTTGGAACTACGGAGACGCCTGAGAATCCTGCAAGCACGATTACTAAGGAGGAACTTTGGTCCTTTGCTTCCATGGCGGGCTTCCTTGAGAGTTCCTTAACGGTAGTCCCTTCAAAGGACAAATGTCCTGAAGGCCACATTGTCTTTTATGAGTATCCCTTTAAACCGGGGTTCAAGTTTCAGTTCGATACTTTGACTCGCTCTTTCATGGAGGTGCTCGACCTAAGCCTAGGGAAAGTGACGCCCCTAGTTTGGAGAGTTGCCCAAGTGATTGCAAAGGTGAATTAGGGTTGGTAAGATCCCTTTAATCTTTCTGACCTGGCTCATGTATACAAAATCCATGTTGAAGCTTCTAACAGATGTATCCTCCACGTGCAACGTGGTCATTCTGCCCTAGTTGGGAAAGTGAACGCCAATGATCATTGATGGAAGACACATTATGTGTTTGTTGATAGAGAGACTCTTGGGGAAGGCGCTCAATGGTT